CTCGCAAAACCAAATTTGTTTGCAAAAAAGTTCGCAAGTGGCCATAGTGTTCTTCCGAACCAGTACGTTTGATTTAATGGCAGGCCTGTGAAAAATTTCCCACCAAGGAAACAGAAGCAGGCGCAGTGGACCGTCTCACAAAGATTCACTGGAATGCTGAGATCAGTGACAGACGAAAAAATCAATTATTTTTGTTCGATTTAAAACGTTATACGGCTGAACCAGAAGCAGTGGGATACCATTTTACTCGTGCTGTGTATGCTAAAATAAAGGTTGGGCTAATACGGCGAGTTTTCTACAATAAAATTTGGTAAATGACTAGCGATTTAGAAGCCCCAAAAGGAGGTTGACCGTTTGTGTGATAGATAGATAGATAGATGGATAGATAGATAGATAGATAGATAGATAGATAGATAGATAGATAGATAGATAGATAGATAGATAGATAGATAGATAGATAGATAGATAGATAGATAGATAGATAGATAGATAGATAGATAGATAGATAGATAGATAGATAGATAGATAGATAGATAGATAGATAGATAGATAGATAGATAGATAGATAGATAGATAGATAGATAGATAGATAGATAGATAGATAGATAGATAGATAGATAGATAGATAGATAGATAGATAGATAGATAGATAGATAGATAGATAGATAGATAGATAGATAGATAGATAGATAGATAGATAGATAGATAGATAGATATGTTAGACAAGAAAACATTTTTGCATCTCTGCAATGTCGTTTTTAACTTCTGTTGAGATGATTGCTCAACTTCACAACAGGGCTGTGGTTCCACCTAAGATTGATTGATGAGCCTCCATCAAAAGAGTCGGGGCTCTTATAAAGTCCATACACAATCCACGTTGATTCCCTTGTATTAAACTGCGGCAACGCCAACCGGACTTCGATCACACACACAGACTCACAGGAATCCATACTGATTGCTTTTAACTTTGAGTAAGCTCTCTCTTCTTCTTCCAGGCTTTGCACTGTAGTGGAAAGGTTTGGTCCGCACTGTTCACCCCTCTAGGACGAACAGATATGCCTGCAAGACCTCCTATCATTGTGCTGTCTGAGTTACCGTCTCACCATAGACAACTCACACTCTTTCTGAAATATATATATATATATATATATATATATATATATATATATCGTATACCTGAATGGCATGGTCTGACAACTTCAAATAATTATCTCAGCTCTACTGAGAGTCACTCAGTTAATGATCAAACGAACAAGAAAATTGATGATTTACTCTGAAAGGTAAAATCCCAGGGGAAGACAAATAGTGTACGATAGAGTTGGATGATCCAGTGTGCACGTGACAATACATTATGATCCTGTTGTATAACAGATGCTGGTTTCAATCGGTTGGAAAATGTTTGGGACCGATTGGGAAGTCATCGTTTCAGAGGGGTTTGGTAAATGATTGGTGGATTGATTGTTGGGCAACGTTTCGCTTTTGACACAAAAGCTTCGTCAGGCCAAGTGAGTAAGTAAGTAGGCTGATTGGGTTTTAAGGCAGTCGGGGAACCAATCCGTGAGATTCCTTAAGGCTAGTGACGTGATCAGTGCTGGTTCAGTCCGAAGTTCAGTCTGATGTTCCTGTTTGTTGATTAGTGGGAATGACTAAGATTTACGTTAGATTGGTTAGGGGGGATTCGTCTTTATGATGGACCCGGATTTTTTCGTCCTTGTTTCTCCAGTCTAGGACACCCTAATGGAAAATACCTCTTGGGGTCGTTCACAGATACCGTTCACCTGTGTTCGTCCAAGGGTACTGGGACAATTAGTTTGGGGATGGGGTTGGGGTGGTCAATTGGATCTAACGCTACTTGGATTTTGTACTTTTAGACCCAGGCGATTTCGCTGATAATTGCACACCGCCTCGTGTCATCTCGCCTGATCTAAGACCGCTCTCCACACTTTTGCAAGTTCTACGCCTCTATTCTATTCACACTGGGATGTTTGGCGATTTCCACCGCCTCGGCCACCAGTCGCCGTGGTGTGAATCTTAAACCCCGTCTCAGGATATTCTTATTTTCTAAATCTATCCTATGCCCAGTGTCTAGAGCATGCCCTGCCATTGCTGAATCTTTAACTAACGTCTGGTATTCCTCTGCGTTCCTCGGTGGTCTGTTAATGTAACGCTTATGCTCACCGATTCTGGTGGGCAATTCCCTGGCTGTCTGATCTATATCAACCTTTGTGAAGTCGTTACCTTTTATCTTGTATACACGGTTCCTAGTCCTATCAACCGGAAGGCGATCCTTCAAATGCACCAACACCGAGCGTAAAGTTTTCCCCCTCTGGAAAGCTACTTTAATGTTAGCCGTATTCAGTACCCTTCTAATGACTTCAGATGTCCCTGTTTTGTATGGAATGACCGCTGTTCCGATCCACTCCTTGTTGGGCCTTGGTGTTGGCGACAATACCCGTCTTAGATGCCCCTTAATTAAACCCACTGGGTATCCGCTATCTTCAAGTCGCTTTTTTACCTCAGGTTGTGCTGCTCTTCGGTCGACCTCCTCTGTGCACAGTGCTCTCATTCTCCTGTACATCGCTGAAACTGTTAGCATATACAGCTTTTGGATGTACAGATAAGTGGTTTAAGACCGCAGCACTATCTGTTGATTTCCGGTATACGGTGGCTTTTAATTTCCCATCACTGTTGTGTGTCATGCAGTTAATTTATCGTAAATCATAGTCATCCCCACTAACCAACAAATAGGAACATCAAACAGAACACCCAGCACTGATCACGTCACTAGTCATAAGGAATCTCACTGATTGGTTCCCCGACTGCCTTGAAACCCAATCAACCTACTTACTTACTCACTTGGCCTGACGAAGCTTTTGTGTCAAAAGCGAAAGTTTGCCTAGCAATAAGTCCACCGATTGTTTATCAAACCCCTCTGAGAAGATGCCGGTTTCATTCATACGATTATCAGCGCGGCAATACATGTCAATAAACCGATTCGCTCACTTGGGGTCCGAAGTACTTTTAGTCCTTGTGGTCAAGGTCGATTAGGTGTTTGAGATGACAAATCGGTTCCCTTCAGGTTGATTCGGTGTGTTCAGGATGTGCATGCCTGTAGAATTGAATGTTTCAACAGGTTTAAATTCATGTTTCCCCACCTAGCATTGCTTTGTTCCCATCGACGTGGCCTGATTGATGCTCCGGTGCTTTTTGTTGGATCTAAACTTGGTTGGATATTTGCACCACACGAAAGGACCCGAATTAGGAATAGAGAGCAAAAGTGATGCACTTATTGACTACGTCTTAAAGTGTAGCGGTGATACTAGTGATGGGGAGGCACGCGAGTAGTATGTGTTGTTCATGGAATTTTGCTTTGTGTCTCTTGAAAAGGAGAGATCTGTTTCGGAGTTTGTGGAGTCGCTTTGTAACATTTGCTTGGATTTGATTGATGAATGATTGAAGTCAATGAATATCCAGGAAAGTTCAACAAG